TAAGAACTTTGCCCGTCAAAACCTACGTAGTTCCTTTGTTTTATTAAAGATAGCTTTTTCCCGTGACTCGGTCTGTACAAAATTTAATAAAAAAAACTTAGTAGGCTGTGTATTCTTCCAGATTAATAACAGACGTCCATCGATCTAAAATTGCGCATTTATAATATTACTGAGATATGATTTGAAAAAGGAACTGTTTTTATTTTTTATTTCATTTCGAGCAGTTTTCAATTATTCTGTTTATACAATATAGGCAATGTAGTCGAGTCCACTTAGATAACAACACTGGCGATGGCTATAGGTGGGTATGGCCACGTGCGGATAACGGCTATTCTTATCTGTCTGACGTATTTCATACATCATACACAGGCTTGAATATTTATAATATTGTATTTTAAAATAAATATTTTAATGAATATAATTTACGTTTATTACAAAATGGATATGTTTGGCCAAATATTCTAAATTTTATTCACCATCAGCTCACTATACGTCCCCATCGAGGAGTTAAGGGTGATTAGGTTATAGTCAACCACGCTGGCCAAGTGCGGGTTGGTGGACTTCACTCATATCTTTGAAATTCCTTTCAGATATGTGCAGGTTGCATCGCGATGTTTTCCCTTACCGTAAGAACGTCGGATAAATGTACATATGTAAATCGGAAATCGAAAACACATTGGTAGATGGCGGAATTCCAACTCAGTACCTACAAATTACAAGTCAAGTGCTTGACCCCTGAGCCACCGACGCTCTATTAAGTTTCTATTTTATTACGTTTGAATATTAAGCATCTGTTAGAAATAAAGCAATTATAAAATTTCGACATAATATTTGAACTTTTATTGTACATTTTTTTGTATAAATTTGATTTTAAAACATTTGTGTTTTCGTACATACGTGAAGTGCGTTTCCATTACAGCGCCTACCTCAAGCGTTCGACGTCACGACAACATATAGAGATGATCTCATAGATAACTCTTGGAGACCGCGTGTCCATTGTTACAGCATTGTGCCCGCCAGAATGTATTGTGTCACATCGTAAATCATACAGAAAATATATGTAGCTCTGATTACGTACACTGATGTTTACTACTTGAAATATAGTTGTATGTTTTTATTTATATCAAAGACTTTAGGATATATTCTTTCTGTTGCACACAGTCGTATTAACCCTTAATGTGGCAAGATTTTTTTTAAAAAGCAAAAAACAAATTAAAAAAAACAAAGTTAAAAATTATTTTATAGTGATCGTATATTTTTATAAAGTTGTATGTATGGTATATACAAAATAAACATAATGGTTAAGGCTACTTAAACAGTCCCTTAGTGTGGATTTCTTATAATAAATCTATACTAAAATGATTCTATGCCGAGGCTACCTTAATTAGTCTAAATACGAAAGTCAACGACTTATAACAGCTTATTTGTGATTTTTTTTATAGAAAATACATTGTCTTACCTTTAGCGTTGTATTTAGATTTAGTATCAATACTTTTATAGATTAATATCGTTCTTAAACAGTTCAATCCACATTATAATTCAAAGAATAGAAGCACCGTCCCGTTCAATATGTGCGGCCATCGCTATACTCTGGTCACGTAATAGAATACTGAACATCATACATTCTAATTACTACAAAAAATCTTATTCCAAACCTATTAAAGTTCTATATCAAACAAAATTTATTTTACTACCGGCAATCATTAATTGGTTTTAATAATATGAAAGTTAATTTAGAAAAATGTAATCCTCTCTTTGAAACAAATGCAAGAGATACTCTAAAGTAATGATTCTATTTACTTTTAAGAAATTTCGAAATATTCAGTTGCATTTCACCACTGTTGGTCCCCATTAATTAAAGATAATCATAAGGAATGCGTTAATAAATAAGGTTTAGTTAATTGCTAGGTAAGCACCGTGACCAATTAGTGTGTGCGGTGCGGGCAAGCGTCGGTTTGAGACGAATTTCATTTAAGCAATTGTGGTAATTGACCGGCCGGCTTCCGGCGCGCTTTGTCCCACAATGAGCGTAGGAATATGATTGAGCCGGTAATTGCGGCCGGCAAAATCAATCCTTGTCCTGCAATGCATGTGGGAAGCATCAGTATGCACCGATGTTAGTCTGAGTTTGCATTAACGTAACATGCTGTAATGGGTTGTAAGTATGCAGGATAATTAGTTGTAGCAAATTAACTAAACATTTTTTTAATATCTGTTGGTATCGTTATGGTAAGAAGTAATTTAGTTTCTATTTAATTACTCAATGGAATCGCACCTTTCAATTCAACTAAGATTGCAGCTTCGTCGCGTTTCATATAAGGGTTCGTACGTAATATAATTGATGGCTATTAACGTGGTATGCCTCTTGGCCACAATTACACTCTCATTATGGGCCTAGAAGCGTTCAACTGAGAAAAAGCTATATTGGTACTAGTTAAATGTTATATAATAAATGAGTCTCATATATTTTAAGTTATGACAGAATTGAAGAAATTTTTAATAGTCGCTGCCATGTATGGTCGCATTGCAAGGAGCTTCGCCTACATGCGGCGTGCCGCTACGACCTTGCCGCAAGGTCCAGCCGAGCCTCCCGCCCACCGCGCTGCCAAAGGTGCCGTCTGACACCATTTTATCTTTGGGTTATGTAACCAAAAAGGACCAAAATTTACATTTATTACAAAATCAACGTCAACTACTTCGCATCTCACTAGTTGTACGTTTCTTGAAATGCGGAAACTCGCGGGCGTTGAGGCCTCAACGCTGACTGATAAGGCGCCCGGGCGATCGCAGGTTTGTTTCGGGCGTCGGTTTATCTAAGATAACCTGTGGCGTACGATGCAAAATGATGCGAAATATTTCCGGAGTTAGAGGAGCGTTCTATAAATATATGATTCGACGTCGCTCGTGGGCGAACGTTTCGGGCGGCGAGCGGCACGAGGCGAGGCGCGGCAGTAGCGCGCGATCCGTCGCGGCCGGCCGCCGTACGCGCGCGCAACGAACGAACGAACCGCACTCCGCGAAATATCGCGACGATCCCGACCCTACGCAACGCAACGCAAACCCTAATCAACTCTGAATATCGATATCCATTGCGATCAAACGACCATCGAAACTCTAGCGCAGCGCCGGATCGATTCACACCGCGCATCGAAACTTTGCGAGGGCGGCTTATAACGAACAAATCGACTAACTCGAACCGCACGAAGGTGTCGCGTCGCAAAAAGCGCAACACAATAGAGTAAGCGTCTAATTATAAACGTGTCCGTGCGAGCCGACTCCGGGATGCAGAACATCGACCCGCTGGAGTTCGCCAACATCCTGGCCACCGAGCTCTGGTGCCAGCAGGTACGACCCCCGCCGCGCGGCACTACGAGCACCCCTGTGCTACATACTACAACACTACTCGCAATTCCCGTCAAAACTATTCGTACTACCCACAAAAACTAATAACATTCGCAAGCAAAACCCGTAACGTGAGGTAAACTAAAATAGTGCATCAAGGATTGAGACTGTAATAAGGAAGACTGAATTACGTATATAAGTACTTCAGACTGTGGTGTTTATTTGATGCCAATTACCCAATTCTCTCATTAGTAACAATTGTAGAAATAGGCCATGTCACTGTTGTGAGTTGTAACACCTGTTCTCTTGAATTGAAATTTACTTATGCATAATGAAAATGCGTTGAATATTGAGTGTCAAAACATTGGAAATAATTTTCCTATTACGAGCAATATATGCCCAAATGTTGAGCTATATTCTTATATTTATCCAAATTACTATACGTCTTAAAAAATAATAAAAGTAGGTAGAAAAAACTACAGCCATTTGGAAATATTTATTTAAATCTTATTCTACGCATAGGCTAATCTATAAAACACGTGTTTTCTCAGAGATTCACAGCATCCTCTTTGCTTAATTTATTTCAATTGGCATTAGAAATGACGCAGTCATCAAATTACTATTTTCTACCAACGTAGTATACCTACTCGTAATTCAATTCAAGATCTAGATTCGAAATATTTTTAAAATACTGAGGCCCTAACACGAATGTTTGCGACACGCGCTTTTGTAACGTCATCGAAAAAATATGTCAAAATTTGTGTGAGATTTGTTGGTGTAACGCTGACGTTAATAAAACTTTCTAACAAATATTCGTACTAGGACCTTTACGGGTACTTAACAAAAGGTTTAAAAGATCATTACATCGATTGCCCCCCTTTTAAGTAAGGGGAAGTAGAACTTATCTTTACAAGTATAGTAGGTGTTAGTGGCTACTTGTTTGTTTTATCTATTTAAAATGAGACGAGTTGAAAGGTTTATTTGAAAGCTTTTAACATTATTACGTCGCTGGCTGTCGACTGTCTTGTGTTGAGATAACCGTGCCCAGAACCGTGATGTATGGTTATATTTCTTACGTTCCCTTCACTGTAAACATCATTTGTTTTGAAGTTTTAAATATTTTTAATCCTATATTATTACTATCCATATTTATGACACACATTAACGTTCTTAATTTCCTTAACTAAACTAAATATTTTCATTCTTTATGTGAATAGAAATATGTTTGAAAATATACTATATGTATTCTTAAATAGTACTTAATTTCTGATGAATGTCTAAGTTAACAAAATAAAAAATCTTGATTGAGAAATACACTGTTAAAAGTTGAATTCATCTTATAGGTTACCTCTTATTGACAGTCGTGAAGATGCGAAAAATTATTAATATAAAATTGGCGTGTTGTTATTGTTGTTTGTATATAAATAATACGCTGATAAAACTCGAATGGTATGTGGAAGCAAATTAAACAAGATAACAAGTAAACAATGTTGTGCAATACTCTCACATCAAATATAACACGTTATAAGCATATTGTCATTCAAATACATTTATTTTAGCACCAAACAAACATATTAAGTTCTCATTAGGATTACAAATATCTTATAATTTTAAATACCTCATATTCAATTGCTAATAGTTGATATTGTTAATTCCAGTTGGCGAATCTCGAGGGCCTCCAATCGGGGGTCCCGACCCGCACGACGGCGACCATCACGCCCACCCAGCTGCGCAACTTCGAGCAGACATACATCGAGCTGACAAACTTCCGCGGCGATCAGGCCAACCACGCCGGCTTCGTGCCACCATCCGTCACGCACGCCAACAATTACGGTCAGTATGACTATGACAAGAGGATGAAAAATGATAATTTACTTAGGATTAATAGCATCCATATCCATAACTTAATCTGGTAAGGTGGTGGCCATTACATTTGATTCCATGTTTTTTATGGTATGTAATAGCGTGATACTTTTGCAACGGTTTATTTGTTAAGTATGGTTCAAGCTTTTACACCTATAATGTTTCTAAAATACTTTTATATGATGTGTAATATTTTATTAAAAAAGAATGTTTGTGCATTGCAGGCATCCTGAATACGGCGGGGTACTGTGAGTCGGGCCCGACGACCGCGCTGCACGTGTCGCCGGGCCCGCTCTCCGCCAGCGACGGCAGCAGCAGCCCCGGCCTGCCCGCACCCAAGCGCCGCAATATGGGCGGCCGCCGGCCCACCAAGACGCCGCAGGACCTCTCGCCCGAGGAGGAGGAGCGTCGCAAGATCCGCCGCGAGCGCAACAAAATGGCCGCCGCGCGCTGCCGCAAGCGCCGCCTCGACCACACCAACGAGCTGCAGGAGGAGACCGAGAAGCTGGAGGAGAAGAAGAGCATGCTGCAAGACGAGCTGCGCAAGTTGAACGACGACCGCGAGCATCTGCAGGCGCTGCTACAGAACCACCTGCAGTCGTGCAGGCTCGGCAAGCGCGCCCCCAGCCCGCCCGACGTCAAGCCCTTCCAGGACCCCTACGCGTACCCCGAGGCCCCCGAGGACGGCGTGCGCGTCAAGGTCGAGGTCATGGACCCCACCGTGGATCCGGTCCTTGGACTGGATAACGATATCTTCACATCTCCGATGGCGGATAAAAAGTGAGTTGATTTCGCATAGTTAAAATTAACTTAAGTTAGTCATTTCAGGGTCTTGAGTTAGATACCAAAGGTTAATATGTTTTCCAATCTAGTTACTATAAGAATTTAAATGAATGTAGTAATGTAATGTTGTGTTTGTCGCAGGATAATGCTATCGGCGGCGAACCCCGCGGTGGTGACGAGCGGGTCGGGCGGCGCGCTGGACACGCCCCCCGTGCGCCCCTCGCGCCCCAACTTCCTGCACGTGCCCGTCACACTCACGCCCGCACAGGTACGTACATCACAAAATGATAATCGAAAATGTAACACATTAGCATTTGTAAGAATTCAAATTCATCAAATAATACAAGGAATGTGAAAAAGAAGAGGTCATTTTCCATAATTTTTTTACAAGAATCAAAATATATAAAGACCTGTTTAAGTAAAAAAAATTAAGTTAATATTTCTACTTAATTACTTATGATATTCGTTATTCTTCCAGATACATAACAGCAAAGTGGGCAACAACAAGATCCCCGGCATCGAGATCAGCACGCCCAGCAACGGTATCCCGTTCAACTTCGACAGCCTGATGGAGGGGGGCACTGGACTCACGCCAGTGCACCCACACCCGCACCCGTGCGCCCAGCAGCAGCGCGCCGCGCCAGACCTCGCCTCGCCCGACCACGGCAGCCTCGTCAGCCTCTGAGCGGCACCTTCGACCCTACTGCACATATACATAACGACCACAATCCCTTGCAATCAACTGCGACCGCGGTACAACTACCAATCTACTTCTAGAGGCCGAGTTATTGATCACAGCTGTTGTGATTTTTTTCATATATTGAAATGATTTTATTGGTATTTAAGCAATATCTTTGTAATGACATAAGTCAATTATTTTTAAATTTAGAATACATTTTTTTTAAATCAGGAATCGTCTTATGAAAAAAATATCATTTATTTTGTATTTTATTGTAGTTTTAATGCTGTATTTTATTGGTCGATGATGTGAAGTAGACGGATCTTCGGGATGTGGTTATAAATAGCTTTTATATGCAACGTATAACGAGCGTGCCTTAGTGTGCCCTACGTGTGACGTAACGGCCGGCGCACATCGAACTTAGTTCGCGTAATGAGTTCTCATATTTCTATACTCTTCTTTATTTCATATCCTAAGACCATGTTCATATTAAATAGACTATCGGCTAAGGATCATTTTTAATCTGTGACAACGCTGTGTTAGTATATTTAGTGTGAACACTACCTTATTGTGGATCGCGCTACTGTGACACTTGTTGTCTCTGTTTTTTCAAAGCGAATGAAAGAGATGACGATATGTCAATGTGTCAATCCACAGTAACAATCTTTCTGGTGTGCATACACGGAGATGGCTCGAGCCAGAGGGACTCGTGTGACGTCATCGTAGTGGGCGTGGCGTGTATGACGTCATCTCTCAAGACGGTTGTTAATATTGGTAGCATTTTTAATTTAAAAATGTAACAAATTGATTTTTACAAGGTTTTTTCATCGATTGATATGTTCTTGTCGCTTTCTTCGTGTATGCCTTACTTCTAAACTGTTTTCCTGAATATATTTTCTTACTGTTCTATGTTTCAATGTCTTGAAACAATTAGCATCTCATTACGGAACTCCCGTAGTTAAGTAACTTGCTCACTATGTGCTTTTTGTATTTATATTTAATATATAAATTAGCCTTATGTAATAACGGACGTAAATCTGTCAGTCCACAAGTCAATTGATGAGCTCTTTTATATTTCTATACGAAAAAAAAGCAAAATATTTTTTATACAATAGAAATTTATAACAGAAGCAGAAATATTTGTGATGGAAAAAATAAAACCGAGTTTTATTTTTGATGCATTAATTTCGAGTTGTGCTTAATCTAGCTAGGCTAGACTAGGGAATATTTATAAGTCGTGTAAAAGATCTCTTTTACAGAAAAAAAACTACATTTCTGTCAAACGGCACAAATTTGTTTAATGTACTCACACTCTTAGAATCTTGTCATAATAAACTTGGTGCCATTAATCTACTTTCTGGAATACAAATAAAAAAAAATGAACGGCAATATTTCGAAATTTGAAAATGGAATTCGGCTCTATAGCGCATTGTCTCTGTCACACTAACAGTGTGCGAAAGAGACAACACTATATGACTTGTAAAAATCTTTTCAAATTTGGAAGTGATATGTCGTTGATTGTTTAAAGAACTAAAAGCAATATTACTTAATGAATTTGAATATATTGAATGTAAGTTAGCTCAATGTCGATGTAGTGTTACCGTTCCATTGGTTTAGGTTCTGGTAGTGTATCAAATGTTAATTGTAAGTAATATGTGATACGTCCAGTGATTCGCTCACCTGTGTAAGAGAGGGACAGCGATATTATTGTTTGACTCATGCCGTTCATTACTCATTTTAATGTACTTTTTATATGAAAACATAATCTAATAATTTATCTACGCATGATTTATGTCATTTTATTGTTATTTTAAAAATGACTTTTTTCTTTTATTTTTTTAATTATCTGTCCTTCGTCTCTATGGTCTTATTTTTTTTTATTCGTATGGCATGAGTCGTTTAGTTCGTACCAATAATATATTCTGGAATTAAACAATATCTAGGATAAGGCAATAACTAGTTTGTAAGGCACTTAACAATTTTTTTTATAATAATACGCATAACTTAGACCAAATTATTACTCTATGTGCTTTATTGTAGTTTTAATTTAAAATCTAAGCCAAAAATTGATTTTATGTCGTTATATTAGTTAGGTTTAGCCGCCATTACGTTGAAGTATTATTGGGTGAGACGTCGAGAAAAGTATTTATTTAGTAAATAGTATATATCACTGATGAACGAAGCCGCGGGACTTTGCTAGTATGTAACGATCATCACAGCTGCCTACATTCATATATTACGCATAATATGAACATTCTAGATTTTAAGAAATGAGGTAATTTTTTCTAGAAAGTTTTATCTTAAAGCATTGTGATTAGACTAATTTTGTATTTTTCCATGAAAATTAGCAAAGCAATATATTTGATAGAATTATTGGATAATCAAAACTGATTGTAGTCAAATTATTATATGTAAATCAGAAAATATAAATTTGTTAACGTACACCGGAACTTTGTGTTTTTATTTTGACATCCGACCACATATAACAGTTTTACTTCTTACTATAATAACATTATAAATGAATGCGAATGTTTAGATGGATGGATGGATAGCGTTTGTTTGAAGAGGTATCTCTAGAACGGCTGCATGGATCTCTTTAATATTTGGCATAGATGTAGAACAGTCTGGAATATATAAGCTACTTAGTTTTTTTTAAGTCCGCGCGGACGAAGTCGCGGGCGAAAGCTAGTATAATAAAATCATAATCAACAAACATGAAATTATAAATACATAGTAGATTTGGGTAAATCAGTTATGTAATAAAAATCCACATTTCTGTTTAATTTTTTATAACGATCTTATTTTTAAAAACTAAAGTTATTTGAGAATAGAATATTCTAGAATTGCATTACATTATTGTGCTAGAATAAATAAGAAAATGTGTTTTGTGTTGAAACTGTGATTAACCATTGCTGTTCTTTAAAGAGAATTAATTCTGAGAGTACTTAAAAAAAAGAATAAAATTGTCGCGTTCCTACAGTGGAAACCGGCTTTTATACTAATTGTAGTACCCGATTCTCCGTCGTCGTCTCGTCGTCCGGCGCCTTATGTGGTTTTTTATGGCGGTGTAAATGTAGAAACAGATCTCAAACAAGCTAATGAAGCTGCAGCCGAGACACAGACCGAACACGCCGCCTAAGTTAGCTGCAACAGTATTAAATTTTTTTATTCATAATCAATTTCTTCTGGCAATGTATGGGGAAAATTTGGTTCAAATAACATATCTTTGGAAGTCAAATAACAGTAAAAATTGAAAGTTTGCATATGGCAAAATAGAGGTGGCGTTAGCGCCCTCAATATTGCCACACGCAGGACCAAACTTAAAATAATTGACCCTTGTCTATACATGTTTGTTGAATTGCTTGTTCAAATTAATTTGCCAAATCATGTTTGATCGATTATTGGACAATCTCTTTAGTCTCAAAAAGGGTTGCCATTGTCCATAATTTTTAGGGTTGCCATCTTATAAACTATGAGGAATTATCGTGGATTGAATGAGCAATATTATATAATTTTGTGATAATTCTATCTTTTACTTACATACGAAATTGGTCAAAGACATCACAGTCTCCTGTTTTTGCCTGACAAATGAAGTCTTGGGAAAGAAGAAATGCATCACCGTCGTGCTTTCGTTTAGAACAACTCCCGAGCTATAAAAGAAATCAATATTCTCTTAATTTACAAAACCAAGAATCTCAGGTGCACATTAAGACTCAGCAGAATGAATAGATTAAAACATTACTTTTATCCTGTACTCCCGCTTTCCCGTCCTTCTTCGCTGGGGAGAAGAACTGCCTTTTGCTCCCTATAGATGCCAGTATGTTCAAGAGTGAAATTAGCTTTAAATAACTTTACTACAGATATGCAGAAACTCTACGGACTTCCATCAAATTTTACCCAAGAAATTCAATAACTGTATTTTAAGGTAGCGCATAAATTAATAAGAATAAATAAATTTTATTAAATCTCTAGAATTACTACAAAAATTGTGGCAGACTGCCTTGACTAATTTTCTTGACGCTAGCGCCACCTACTACTTACTACTACTTGCTACTTAGTTTTTCTTCCCATTGTTACGTAAGTAGTCACTTAGGGTAGATTCCGCATCCTCAATCTGTATGAAAAACCTGGTTTACTGGCGATAATAAAGTATACTTACTATCTATCATCCAGCCTGACATGTTGGACAGCTTGCAAATTGCCGTTGAAGTGTTCGACGGAATAGCGGCGAGACACGCAGTCTCTCTGGCAGCCGCACCAGCTTGCAGACGATTCTTCAGTCATTTGATCTGAAATAATGGATATCAGACCACGCACAGCACAATAGCACTAATTCCTTTTTTATTTATACTTTGTTGTGTCTTACAATGAGGTTCCACTGGAAAACGTCATTATTATTCTCTTCCAAAAAAAGACGATATGTTTACTACAACTGGTACGGCAATGGAATCACTATTATAATACAACCAAACTTTACAGGGCCAACGTGTTTGACTATGGCCTAATCACCCTTGTTTTAGGGTAAGCTCCGAGCCTCTCAGTGGGGACCTATAGTGGGCTGCTGATGAAAACAATAACGTACTTTTGTTTGTTTAAGTTGAGTTTTTTAATTAATGAAATACATATAAATATACAGAAAACGTATACGAAGCGTCAGCGTCAAATTATGTCAGTATTAAATTACTTATCGATCTATTACTTTTAAAAGATAACCTTACATTTAACGTCCGTAATACATGGAATCTTAGTAAAGTTGCAGACTTGATGTGGGCTGACGTTGGGCACGTAGAAGACCACGCAATGACATTCAGACTCCACCTTGCTTACGAGACAGTTTAGTTCGCAGTCAGTGTGGTGGTACTTCCAGAAATGAGGCAGGATTACCTCGTCTTCGAAGACGCATTTCCTACTGCGGAGACGAACAATGTTAGTTTTATGTTATAAATTAGAAAGTTTAAAACCTGGCCATAAATTCCAAGATTATCAAGACAAACATTTCATATAGTGTTTTAGAATTTTATGCAGATCAAGTCCTCAGTTTTGCTCAACAATTACAGTCATTTATAAATGTAATTTGTTGTTTATTTGTCTTTCTTACCGTTGATTTCTGAGACCAACATTTTCGACGAAATCAAAGATAACAATATGTTTTAGATGGAGATTTTGGTCTCAGAAATCCACGGTTAGAGACTCGTTACTATCCTTCATAATTATTGTCATGTCTATTATTTATTCAGAAGAAAAAAGATTGAATGCATTGGTGTTATTAAACTGGTGTAACGACAATGGAAACAGCCGTTCCCACCATTTTTATCATTCTTATATTTTTTAATTAAAATTAATGTTTAGAATAGATACCTGTCGATTGGCAGTGTTGCTACCTCTTCGGAGCAGTATGTGTATGTGGCAGAGATGAGCAGGAAAGCTTCAATACCAGGGTGCGCTAGAACCGACTCTACCTCCAAAGGGAATTCGGACCAATCCGTGAACACAATCTGACGGAAAAATTCAATGCATGAAAATAAGAATCTTTATAATTCAAATTAAGAGATTGATACTCGATTATTAAAAGAAAAATGGTGGCTCGTCTACGCGTTGTGTTAAAAGATTAAAACTTTACAACGGCTCGCTAACTCCGATTGTTTACCCAGGACCACTGTGAGCTAAAAAAAAACACATAGGAAGATGTGGTCAGCCCCGCATTGCTATGTGCTTCCGACACATTAAATTATATACAGCGTCTCGTGGTAAATTGCGAGCTATGTAAAGTTTGTACAGCATTATACCCGAGTTGCGCCCGCGTGTTGAACTGTGCCATCGACAGCGTTATAGGGGTCATGATCCACAATCACGGTAAGTCCGTGTTTTAAACGATTTATTTTAGATTTATGTTTTATGAAGTTTGGTTTCTTCTCATTTCTGAAAAATAAAATTATCTATTAATCTTCTTAAAAATCGGTAAATTTATCGATATAACTAGGGTAGGAGTGACTTCATAGTATAACAGGATTTAAAGTTTATGGCAGCATTGCAAGTAGAGGAAAGCGCCGGCACTCTATTACCTTGCCTCTGAATCTCTGTACATTACGCCGATGCTTAAACTGTTCTATGCAGTGTGTCATGTATAATACGAACGGCAATAAAGTGTGGATTATACTATACCTCTTGTTATTAACAAACTTGTATATGCTATTGAAAGCACAACAGACGCCCAGTTTGGTGAGCACCGGCTCGAAGAGTTCCTCACAAGGATACAGTTTGTTTTGAAAAAAACATCGCTTGAGGAAAGTGTTGCAGTTTTGCGCCAACAAGCTCATCACGCTTACCACCTACGACAAACATGTATTTTGAAAAACTAATCATTTTTTTATTATTCTTGTATTGTTAAAATTATTTAAACCTCATTCACTTAAAGTACGAATTTATTTATTAACATTGACAAAGTAACTTATATTTAATTTTATATATTACTAGCTATCGCCCGCGACTCCGTCGGCGTGGTTTATAAAAAAAACTTTAATAGTAGCCTATGTGTTCTCGCAGACTATGTTCTACATCTATGCCAAACCTTTAAACAAACATCCATCTAAACATTCGCATTTAAAATATTAGTAAGATAAAATACTTGCCGAGTAACGATTGCTTGTGATAATGTCTTGAAATTGTTGTAATTTCTCTAAATTGATGCTCTGTAGCAGTTCATTGAAACCTAGCGCTTGTGCAACAAGATCATCAAAATTAGATGTTAAATTTCCATTTCTGAAACGAATAAAATTATTAGAATGCTATAATTTTTGTCCTGATAGATGAAAGTTTGTTAAACCTAAAGCAAGGCACACGGATGATTAGCTTGGAACAACAGATAGGTTACATTTCTCCGAAAATATGTACTATTGCCGGGGAATAGTCTTGATTTGGCTTTTGTCATTATATATCAGCAATAAAGTACAGAGATTTTTTTTTAAATTAATTACGAAGGAAGTCGCGGGCAACAGCTAGAAAGATATAAAATACACTAATGTCTGTTTGAAGTGTTCCACAGCGCTGGCAGTTATCTGATTGGGCGAACAGAGCGTGATGGCGGGATACGGCAGATTGTAAATCGGTTCGAACTGGTTTTCAATGGTGATGTGAGTCGGCGTCTCCATGAAGCGCCGATTCAGGAGCAGCGTCAGCAGACATGCCCCCATCCCGCAGAGTAATAAAGTTATCCCCCAGAAACATCTGTATAACATACAACTTGTATTGAATGCGGCATTTGATTTGGCACATCGCGAACAAGTATTTACTTCTTCTCTATGTGCCAACTCAACGATTAACTTCGAATGTTTTTACAAATATTCTATAAATTTATATTTGTCTTCAATCATAGAAACATGACAAGAAAGTAAACTTCTTACCTTGACACTGGGTCTGGATACAAATAGAAATATTTCAGACCTAAAACACTACCCTCTAAACAGAACCGTCGTAGCAGAGTTTTGAAATTACCCTTCATTGTCTATGGTTTAAAGTACAGATAAAAAAAGATTATTTTCAATACAAATTGAATGTAAAAAAGCTACTTCTAATTTCAATATAACACTAATTTTTCAACAACGTTTTCAAACTAAGTATTATACGTATTTTCATGTTGGTATTGTAACGGTGAATATTTTAAATTAATAATTATTTAGCGTGACACAGAACACTGTAATTAAAATGAATATGAACGATAGCTAAATTATAGTACGATATAGTATATTGTTATATTTTTTCAGCATTTGCTGGATAAAATGAAGGCTATTCTGAATACGCTATGACATTGCTATACTTTCCCTCAAACCTATGTACAGTTTTTAAATTACTAAAATTACTTTTGTAGGTACTTATTAAAAAAAAACATATAAAAGTGACGTCAAAGAAATTTTTGTGTTTGTTTGTTACATTTATACTTAGTTTAAAAGGAATGTCAGTTAACGTGGATTTCTAAGACCAAAATCTCTGTACGATTAATATCGTCATGTCTTACCAAAACAGAGATAAAAATACATTTTAAACGGGGATTTTGGTCTCAAAAAACCACGGTAACTGAAAAAATCTACATATTTAATATTAATTAAAAATAAATACAACTTTTAGGAAAATGTATAAAGTGATTTATTTGGAAAATTTTAAAAGTTAACAATTTGATTAAGAAACATTAAATTTAGCGAAAGTATAGAATTTTGGCTACGCCACAACAATTGCGTAAACAATACAGACTATAAATATAATACAACTAATGTCATATATTACATTGAAATCAATATGACTCAATTTACTGGTCACTGAAAAAAACTATATTAAAGAGAATTACAATAATTACTACAGTGCCACGAACTTATCTGACCCGGTGAGCAAAAGTGAAAGTAACATACTATAACTCAATATTAAAAATGTGTTACAAAATCCTCATCATACTGTGTCTTATATCATCAGCTCACTATACGTCCCCACCGAGGGGCTCGGAGCCTACCCTAAATTAGGGGTGACTAGGCCATAGTCAACCACGCTGGCCAAGTGCGGGTTGGTTGACTTCACACATATATTTGAATTTCTTCTCAGATATGTGCAGTTAGCATCACGATGTTTTCCTCCACCGTAAGAACGTCGGATAAAAAAATGTATTTTATATAATACGTATTCTGATGGAACTAACAGCGGTCAATGGTCACTGGGTCAGATAGGTTTGTGGGACTATAATATCACGTTTCAACTGAGCGCCATTTTGTTTTTTTCAGTAATTATTTGTGACATGCAGCTAAACTATTGAATTGATTTCAAGTAAAGTTCTTCTACAACACGCTGCTCTAGTTATTGTAAAATAAATTATAGGTTATTTATTATTTATTAGCAATCGAAAGAATTAAAGAAAAAAAAAGTTTGTGTATTGAAAATTTGAAAATTTATTTAGTCCCGAGAATTTTTTTTATATAGGAGAAGGGGGCAACGAATCGCCTAAGATTATTTGATCCGTGGACATCCGCAACGCCAGAGGAAACACAGATGCGTTGCCGGGCTTTAAGTATTTAATTGGATGTCCAATAAATTCTTATAAGTGGCCGTAAAACTGGAAAATATTACTAAAATGCTACGCAAATTACGTATAAAACATAATATATATTTTAATTGCCAATAATCTTTCATTTTCTATATTAATGAAAAGTTTTATACATGATTAATAATTCTGCAAAATAATGGTCGTAATGGCATAAGATATAATATGTTATTTATCCGATATTTATCAAAGAAACAATTAATAGAAATGTTATGCTGACATATAAGACATAAGACTCTACAATTTATGATTTGAATAAATCCAAAGACAAAAAGATTATCCTCATTTCTACATACGAATGTTTTATTACTTTCAACCCTTTACAGCAGTCTTTCCCAAAGTGGGAGATAACGCCCCCTTAAGATAAGAGACCACATGTACTGACGTATTTTGTTTTAATTGCCATTTTTATCGAAATCTAATACTGTAGATCAGTCGTTCCCAAAGTGGACGATAACGCCCTCTTGTGGGCGCTGCAGGTTTCAAGTTGCGGGTTATAGTAAAAGTTTAGTTTAGAATTCTCTGTTAATATACATATATAGGTCACAGTAATTAATTCATTTAATTTGAAGTTATAGTGGTTTTTAAATATGTGAAAATATGAGGGGCGCTAAAAAATATTTATTCTCAAAGTAGGCAGTAGACAAAATAAGTTTGGGAACCACTGCTTTACAGTAACAAAGCTTTGAGTAACTTAACAAAGAGATATTTCAAGACATTATAAATTGTTTTTAGAATTTCTAAAAACAGTTTGGTATAAGACATAAATATATTTTTAAATCGCACGAATTTTAAATTCACAAAATGAAATATAAATGCACTTACTAAAATAAAATTAAATAGGATCAAGTATAATATTATACAATATGATTTTATGCTTTGAATAGCGACTCTATCTTTACACGAATACCATACACAATGCAACAAGCGGTAGAATTCACAAACCATGTGTAGCAAAGACAACATAAGTAACTTTTTCGCTTAACACATTCACTGCTTAAGATATAATATAATTAGCCAGGAGCCAACATTTTTAAGGCGTATTTTGATTATGTATATATGTATGTTTAAAAATATGGATGAAAATACATATTAGTTTAAAAAATAACCTTTTTCCGATCCTAGTGTTCAGCACATAGCTCACACGCCGGCGGCTTACAGAAAACTACAAAATGCACGGCCCGCTATTATGCCCTACCCCGCTCGGATCCGAGTGGTGAGCACTGAATGTGTTAAAAATATCTTTCACTTCTTCCTCACATTAACTTCAACGTTGTCAAATTTTACGTTCATTTAGAAATTGGTTACAAAGTTTGTTTCTTCATATATTATATGAATAAGGATAACTTACTATAATACCAACACATATAACAAACATTAGCAATCTTACTTAGAGATTGTAATAACTATGGTGCCAGCTGAAAACCAGTAACGGAACAGTTCAGTTTGTCCCTGCTTCGCTGAGCTTCCTTTTGCCACACTTTTATATCAAGTTTGTGCCTTGTGTGTGTTTTATGTTAGCTGTTTTACAAAGATAAATGATGTTATTTTGTTCGAGTATTTAACATTAGAAAGACGGGAATAACGCTCTACCTAAAAAGACAGCTGACGGTCATTTGACCCGTTAGCGTCGCGTAAGCTCTAATTTTTCATGATTGTACTAAAATTAAAGAAAACCCATAGCTAATAGAAAATCTTGTCTCGAACTTTATTTACAACTCATTTTCAAGAGCAGTTGAAGTTTACAATGGTAATATGAGTTTTAAATTTATGATTATTAAATGAAATATAAAGGAATAATTAACTAATATATTATTAAAAGGAGTTCCCTTAGGCAAGATTCCGAAGATACTGGCAGCGTCATTTTAATTTAATTCGCAGATAATAGAAAAAAAATAATCATTGAAAATTCAAAATTAGATTTTATAGTCTATCATTTTTATGGTTTGACATTTTTTAATTTCGAGATCTTTTAAACTCAATACTATATTAAAATGATACATATATCATATATAACATACATAAATATTATGTTTGTATTTAGAACAATAGTTTAATTTTTTCTACTATAAGCACCAAAATATATGGGAATAGATATTTTTAGTCCTGTTCGATAAATTGATGCAGGTATCTTTATTACTAAAATTCGCATAAAATATCTATCTAACTGTATGTAAATATATATTGTGTCCTTTAAATATACAACAACATATGTTATATATTTAATCATTGTTGGATTATATATATATATATATATAGTAAGTGTAAATAAATTCTTAATAAAGTCTATAATTATGTAAATAAAATATCTATTGTGAAATTATTCATAATGTAATATAGCAGTAAAATTTGTTTATAATATTAAAGTAAAAAAATACTATTAAATTTATTTTTAACAGCAGAAAAATATTTTTAATTAATTTAACAAACTTGATCCATTCAATTTCATATTTTGGTAAGATATTAAAATTTGCTCATTTATTACGTTGGTTGGTATTTGGAGGTGATTATTTTTAATATAATGTAAATATAATACTAAATACGATGATTAGAATATTTAAACTGAAACTGAAGTCACGTAGCGTTTCAGATTTGATAATTTTCTAAGCTTTGTGCTAAGGAAATTACGCTATTATTACTAAATGTATGAAAAGATAGTGTAAAAGGCATTATTCATTTAGCGATAGTAAAAATATTATTTTTCGTATAATTTTGGAATCCATTACATCGTTTGTATATAATATTTATTTTCAATAAATACATTTCTAATAAATCCTATCTCACATGTATTGTGCGTAAGTCTTCATCATTTTAAAAATGCTACAAAACCTTATATTTAATATACATAATAATAAAAGACGTATTTCGTCCAGATAAGTAAATTGAATTGGCGTTTCTTTTCACATAAATATTTAAATCAATTTAAAATGGTATTATACATACATACGTATGAATTTTATATTTCATAATTTCCACTTTTGATAAGTCAAAAGCGTGCTTACTCAAGAAGAAAATTGATAAATATTAACATTAACACACGTAAGTATCTGAAAGACAATTAAACATTAATAAAATACCACATCCGTTTGTGCTGAAACAATCAAAGCAACACCTTTGTGTAACGTTTAATATCTAGTAAATCGACAAAAGACCTGGAATAGGTCTGGAAAGCGACAGTATGTCGAATAACGCTTCGTCGTCTGGGGGTAGTGAGTGGTGGCGAGCGAGGGGATCGCAACGCAAAAGCACCGGGTGTCGGTGCGGCCACACTCAAGCCATTTCTGTGTCCAATGCCAGGCGCGCTGCTGAGGCACGCTACGTCGGAGGCCGTCAGGAGTCCAACAATACGTGCCACCGTTGTACCTTCAAAGAAATATTTATTTAAAAAAAAATTACGCAAAAAAATAAATATAATTGCAATTTTATACGATGATAAAATTGAGGACAATAGCAATACTAATAAAATCGTGTGATCGCTACGTATATTTGCGTACCAATACTACAGGCTACGTACGTAGCACAAGTACTCGTAGACTATCTACGTGAGAAATGTTAAATATTTAAATCTACATAATAAGTATGTTAAAATATCATATTTCAACGTAACGTACGAAACATAACATTCATCAAATGCGACTGCTGAAGACTATCTTAAGACCCTTTTTCACTAATCTATGAATATAGAAATAGCAATGTTTCTATCTGCAATAATTATCAATTCCTTGAACGCAATAGTTGATTATTGAAAAAAGGAGTTTAAAGTTCACAAAGTTTCGATGACGGTTACGTTACCTGTTCGCCCTGTCGCTGGCAGAGGTCATCCCAATGGCGTTGCTCGTCGCGGCCGGAGGAGCTATGCCCCAGCGAGAACCAGCCTACCATCTCGTTGCGCTTCACGCTGCGCCGCCACCACACCGACACCATCAGAGTCACTTCCGTTAGTTGGAACAGCGCCACCTGATGAATAATAGTATTGTGAACATTTAGAACAGCACACAACCCTCTTTAGTCCCCTTATTCCTTAGGTCACCAACCTACCTTTCTCTCGGGATAAAATTACAGCTTATTTTGAAAATGATTTAAGAATTTTTTAAATTAATTTTGCTTTTGAATTTATCCAGGACAAACAATCGATTCTTTTTACTGGAAACAGTATGTTTATACATATACCTGGAATATAAACAGCTCCTTGTACAGTGGGTTGGATTGTGCGCGGCGCGTGGTGGACTTGCAGCGGCCCATCTCCATGCCCAGCGAGCTGATGAGGCACAGCTTTACGTACGTGTCCGGCGCCTTGTGTGGCGACAGCTTGCGGAAGTGCGTGCCCTTTATTATCTGTCATACATTAACAGCCATAAGTATGCTTTGATAGAATCATTGTACCATGAAGATTATGTTAATTTTTCATGTATGCGGATGTTCGCATTTCATCTGTGAGTGTGAGAAATCTACCCTAAGTTTTTGCCTTAGTGATCAAATAATGACATACAAGTGTGACAGTAAGTGTGTTTAAATAAATGCAGACCTCAACAGACAAGTGTCCCGTAGTGGGGCTGTACTGCAGGCCGAGGAGCAGCTCGGGGGCGGAGCGCGCGCTGCAGCACGAGGAGGCGGAGTCAGAGCGTGCCAAGCTGCACGCCTCGCCCCCGGACACGAACCCATTGCCGGCAGACACGCCAGACATTCCCGAGACACCCGCACTCAGTGACGACGGACTCGCCAGCACGCCCGTCACTGACCCGTCCAGCTCTAGTTTCGGTAGCTGCACACAGGCGCACAATTATAATAACAAAATCATCATCAACATCTTGTCTTTTCACTTCTTGAAATAGACTTTCCCCAATATATTCCACTAGATAAGGTACTTCTCATTTCGGGCAAAATGCCGTCTGACATATCGTAATGTTGCAGTGTAACTGACTCATATAGACTTTACAAAAAGTAGAACTACTGAACAGTTATGAGTTCGATTCTTAAGTCATTTTATTATTCACTCCGTTAGTCAATTGAATGGTGTTATAAGATAAATTTTTAACTATGTACAAAGTTTTGACTACGGCATATAACTGTTGCGTGAAGGGAACCATCTGCTTGATATTCGGTTGGATTCCCCGTTCTTTTTGTTGCTGAAAACAAGAACGAAAACGTGTGTAACCTGCATAGCGGGCTGGTGTTGCCGAGGCGTCAGCTGCAGCCACAAGTTGTTCTCGAGCTCGAGGTTGAGCGCGGCGAAGCTGACGGCCGCCTCACCCAGCAGCCGCTGCCGGCGCATGCGCTCACATCCGTAGATGCGGATCCTAAGACCCAGCCCGTGCACGTCCTCTGACAAGGAAATACAGCAGTATGAAGCGTTACATGTTCTAATAATTTTAATTAACTCGTATTCCTGAAGACGAGAATTTTATCGCCATCCGATCAATAAGGATAGATTTTACTTAATATACAAATTTCTCATAGTAACCATACATTAAGGTTGGCCACATAAAGACTGAAAACTGAAATAAGCATGCCACTGATTTGTCGGAAATTCAAATACTAGAAAAAGAGTTAGTACGTACCAGGATTTATCTTGTGTAGGACGAAGCTCTCCATATATTGTGGGTTCTCCCCGTTGCGTATCTTCGATTTAAACTTTTGCTTTTTCAGTGGCAACAGTACAATTCTCGCCTGTATAAGTCGTTAAATAAAGTAAAAAAAAAAGTAGGACATCATCATCACTTTTAGAGGCTGATCCATTTTACTTCCAGTAAAGGAAAGAATAAAATAGACATATAGATGTTATCGTATATATTGGCAGTACGAAACATCGTGTGACTCGCTACGCAGAATACAAAAACGTAGCGGTGCGTAAAGGGATTCATACAGATTACATTCAATCATCTAAATATTTAAAATGATATATAGGACCTGGCTTTGCAGCAGTTGAGGGGGCGGGCGCTGCGGCAGACCGCGTGCTTGCAATACATGCACTGTCATGCTGCGCACGGGCGCGTCGTACAACAGCGTCAGCTCCACTGCGCCCCGACTCCCGGCGCCAGCACCGCCCCCGCTACCGCTCTCCCCGCAGAGTAGCGAAGTGTCCTGAAAACGAGTTATATCTATCTAACGATTGTCTATTATTTGTCAAGAATGTGTGATAAATACGAATGAATAAGAAAGAGATAGACTATAAGAGACTATAGTCTATCTCTGGTGGTGATTTGTTGTACCCTTACAACACTCGGTGGAATAAAATGAAGGCTATCTTTAAAATTGATTTAGCTGTCTTGGTTATAATAGAATACCATTGATACAGTCTATTAAATGATATGCATAAATATTGAAATATTCACATTATGAGCAAGGACGTCGCTGTCAACGCTGCTCTGTGCCTCCAGGGTGTGGATGTAGTCCGCTTTCTTGGGGACAACCTCGTCGATCCTTGTCTCCCTCAGCGCAGTCTCCACTAACTGCACCTCCACCTTGACCGGTGCTGATACATTCTCATTTTTCTCCTCATAATGACACTCTACCTCTTCTTTATCCTGGAATAAGAACAATTTGTCATTGAACTTATAGAGAAGATAGATTGGGCTAAAATACAATACGGTTGTAAATATGGAGAATGAATGTTCTATTTAAAAATATAGTTATTATAGCTGTGATATTATGTAGGTAAGATTTTATCTTTTAACATTGTTGAAAAGATAAATAAATAAAGTATAAACAAAGAGGTAAGGCAAATACTAGTTAATTATAACTAATTAAAAACAAGACAATACAGTAAATACATTTCTATGTACAATTAATAAAATTATAATAAGAACTAGGGTGATTGTTAAAAAAGTATATTACAAAATCTTAAGAACTTCGGTTCTCATTGTTAAATGTTTTTAAACATTTGCAAATCATCGAACGAGTTACTTAACTATTATAATAATTTAAGGAACAATCCTAAATTTAAATACCTACCTGTTGTATGCGCAAACGCAGCTCCTCGTCCGAGTCGGAGGTTTCGAACGCGAATATACGTTCGGGATAATGGTTCGGTTTCGACAAAGCATCTATAACAACACAGACGAACAAACAAATTCAATCAATCTCACATTTAACACTACTGAACTATTCGTTTAACTAGCAATACTATTGCAGCTCAACTAAATAACGTAAAAGTAATAAAATACAAGTTATTTTAACATTAGACCTTGACAAGTGGTCGCCTTGGTATGCTAACTACAAACATACCTCGTTAATTTATTATTCAAAAGCATACTTTTTTAATTAACCAACGAACATTAAACTTCTACACCTATACGTTATTATTATTTAAAAAGGCTTATTTAAATTAGTTTATTAAACATCTATTTATGTTTTATTTACTAATATTACTAAGTTACCGAATTGAGCATCGTCGAGAGTTGAGCAGGGATCCGCGATGTGAGCGTTGACAGCGAGGATGTCATCGCAGCATTTGCGAGTGAAGACCGCGGCGTAGCACCAACGTCGGCCGAGGAAGAGAAGCACCACCAGGACCACAGCCGCAAAACCCGCTACCGCACTGATGTACGCCGTCGCTTCCACTACACCAACGAACAACAATCACAATCTATCCACACAAAGGAAACAACAAGAACAATGTTTATATACCATTGGTAGAGTTTATGCCGCCGATGTTGGCCACCATTCTGAACTAGCGCGTAGCCATTTCAGTGACACCTCTCATATCACGTGCACTCACACTAAACATTTAAGACATATCGCTCATTTATTTGTGGAATTAATATCGGAAGCTCGGGTGGAAAATAATTGGGACGTGTTGGCAGGGTCGGAGTGTCATTGCGGCGCATGCGCGGCTCGGGGGCACGGCGGGGGCACGACGGGGGTGTGTGGGGCTGCACACGCAACGCCTCAGCTAGGTACACATGGACGGGACTTCGTCAAGGCCGAGGGCAACCCCTAGCCATTCTTCCAGACCTTATGAATAAATATGAAATATTTTTCATAGTTCTATAGACGAATAATATTTCAATGATATCTTGTCTAACATTAAATTAAAATCAATGAAACAATGTTTTTTTTGTAAATATATAATTAAAAGACAAATAATGTTTTTTATTATAATGAAATTCTTTGAGAGGCGATAAGAATGAAAAATTCGTTTATAAAATATAAATTCACTATGTTTTTTAATCGAAAAAACAGTATGAAAAAATGTCTAAGTTACCAGATATTGGTCGTTATACAAACAGTAAGTTAAATGTACTTTGTGTCTTTACAAAATAGCACAAAGGAGAGGCGTGACCTTTGTATTAATTATGTAGTACATATTAATTGTCTTTACTATCTTTTATCAAAGTAACGTTATGTGTAACTATCACGTCAGTGACTTCGTCCGCACGGAATTGGAAAAAGTCCACTAATAAATATAGCCTACTAGGTGTGCCCGTGACTTCGTCCGCGTGAAATACTGGCTGTGAGCTGCGTGCGGTACTGGACAGTACCTGGATTACAACATTACTTTTTTTTCTAAGATAAAGTAAATTTCCTAAAAATAAACGTAGCCTAAGTTTCTCCTTATCACATCAGCTATCTGCCAGTAAAAGTCCCGTCGAAATCGGCCCAGCCATTTCAGAGATTAGCCGTAACAAACACACAGACAAAAATTGTAAAAAATATTATTTTCGTAGATGAATAAATAGCTCACTCAAAACATTTCTTTAAATTAAAAAAAAAAAACATTGTTTAGTTTTTCTGCCAATATTTGTATTATATATTAATATTATGCAACTTCTGAAAGTGCCAGGATCGAAGGCTTAGCGTACGGATAGAATCCTAAGTAATGCAAGAATTATTTACTCGTAAAAACAGTTTTTATTAGGTGCGCCGAAACGAGGCACGTGTATTAACAGATTTGGTTGAAGCTTAATTTAGAAAACTTATGAAATTTCTCATTGTTTCGACTAAACTTTCAACTTTACGAGTTTTTAATTTGCAATGAAGTTTTGCTTCGTTTCAAAGGTTTGCAACTAATTTCTAACATGATGAAATCTCCGATTTTTTTTAACTCATGATAGCAGTTGCCCGTGACTTCGGGCGGAATTAAAAAACTTATTTATAAATATATTTAGCTTCTGTTACCCGGATATAGTGTAGCTTTTCATTATAAATCTTTGAATATCGGCGATATTAGTGAGTAACCAATCTACGCAATGCAATGTCATAGGGATTCGTAGATAGGCAATGCCGATTTTTGTGCTACGAGACTTCTACGGCGCCTATTTTTATCATGTCTTTGGGGATTCACAGACTTACGTAAAAATGTATAATATGTAGATCTGCGTTCCTTTCTGACCAGCTGCCTGCGGCGTCGCCAAACCACGCTCTACCTTACCGCCGGTACTGTATACAGGCCGACATTTTATTGTTTCGTAACCCAAGCCAGTCTTTGGCTACCTCTTTGTTGAAATCAATAGACAAGAAACCCATTTCGACTTTCACAGAAGACATTAATTTTTCTATGAGCAATGTAGGTTATGTACCATTTCCACTGGAGTAGTGGCGGATGAAAATAGCAGAGTGTAGGTTAGTGAAAAGGGATCTTACGTCACAGGTAATCAAACTGGTAGATTCTTCTACGGCCGCATATTTTGCATTTCCTATTATTAGTTCACAGCTTGAATAATTTGAAATATATTTTGTTTCTCGATTCTACTTCAAATATTTTTTTAACAATTTATAGTTAATGACACTTAATTTTATCAATTTTTCTCGTACTAAAAATAACTAAAGTATAAGTTTTCTTCACTTACTCGACTTCAGTTTAATTGTTTGTTAAATTTTTCTTCAAGAATCAGATGTAGGTACTTTTGAAAAGTTGAATAAATCTATAAATAACTTAAGGTAACCTAATATTAGGTGACAATATATTTCTTTTTTATTCACCACTACACACAAATTGAAGAAATTACACTGATTACTGCACTCAGAGTCTATAATTAGTTAATACGTAAGTGTCAAAGAACTGACTGCTTAGCACGAATATTTGCGACACGTGCCGTCTTAGCGTTACCGACAGAGTATGTCAAAATACGATTTGCTAGTGTACTTCACGTCCGGTAGGGGCGCTGCACAAATTTTGCCGATAACGTTACAATAAAGTTTTACAATAATTCGTTATAAGTCTTCTGTTTATCCCTGAGATATAAGTTATTGGCAGATTTTGGCAGTGTAGCAGACAGTGTATTCTTATCCATATTTATAAGCTTGTAAGGAAGACGCCTGCTATGGCAGTTAGAAAAAATTCGATAAGATTATGATTTTGTACAGGATCGCAGAACGGTGGACTAACGCTCTAGTTCACAATCTATTTTACTATACTCACGAAACCAAATAGATCTTACTTAAAATACTAAAGGGTATGGTGTTGATGTGAAATAAAACATCGTGTTGATATTTTGAAAAGTTTTTTTTATTAACACTTACATTTTTACAGCGCTCCTAGCCAACAGAGTAATACTATAAAATGAACCGGTGTAAAGAACAGTCGAACGCAAAACAATGTTAGTCCTACGGTGTACAAACAAACAGACAAACAAACAAACAGCATACAATACAGTATCCCATCGCCTCGGCAACATCACGACCAACTATTGTCAATGAGATGGACGACGCGTCATGACACAAGCGCAGGAGGTCACCCTAAACAAACGAACATCATTTAAATCTATAAACATTTCATATAATTTAGATTTTATTAGTTACTATAATGTTATATTTTACTTTTGTAACCATTATTATAATGTTATATGTATTTGTTACGAAAAATTGAAAATCGTCTCGCCGGGCTCCCCAGCGTTGCGCAGGCGCAGGCCGCGCGTAGGTGCGCAGGAGAACCGGGCGGGATCGCAACGAGTCGCCTCACACTATCATAACGGTATAATTTTAAAAATCTCTAATTACGCATCCCTACAATTTGTTTATTATCATTTAATTAAGAAATCAAATCTTACGCGGCTACCGATGAGGAGCCTATTTTATAAGTTTGACAAAATCTAATATTGTGATTATTTTAGAAAAGTAAAAGCGTCGCGCGACGGCGCGAGGACGCAAGGACGCGCGGGCGCAGGTGGAGCCGGGGGCCGGGGGCCGGGGGCCGGAGGGCCGAGGGGCCTGGGTCCGGGGCCAGAGTCCTGGGGGCCGGGAGCCGTGGGGCCGGGGCGCCGCGGCGTCTTGCGCTTCACTTTATTCTACATTTACGATTCAAAATACGGCATCAAAATTTCAACTACCTACCTAACAGTAAGCGGTAGTACACTAAGAGTCAGGCACTCCACATCGACCTTTCACACGCCATGCACCCCACCGAATCTTCAACTAAACGAATATCCACTCGAAAAATCCAACTTAATCTAAAGTCCACTTAAATAATAATAATGGCTTCTTAATTGTAACATTACAACAAATGCTTTCGTTGTCCGCCGGGCACGGGCGCGGCGCGGCGCGGCACCTGCGCACGCGCGAGGCGAACCTTCCCTCCCCTAAATGCCTAGACGATATTTTTTATTACTTATTATATAAGTATGTGAAAAAAAATTAGTTCTTAACTATCTTATACGATTAGTGAGGGCGAACCGAACGATGGGTACGAGTCGGCCGCTCTCCGCGCCACGCCGCGCCGCGCCGCTCCCGCCGGCGCTCTGAGATTCCTATGCGATTGAGATTACAAACGATCACAATACAAAAATAACATGATTCACAACTTTCAAATTATACGTGTTCTCATTTTGAAATAACATCACAAACATCAAACTCTCCACGGTGCATATATACATATAAGTTCGTGAGACGACGGCAGCATACGAGGTGCGGGCGAGGGCGAGGGCGTGGGCGGGGCGAGGGCGGCCAGGGCGGACCAGGGCGGGGCGAGGGCGAGGGCGACGGGGCGACGGGGCGGCGGGGCGGGCGGTCGGCGGCGGTACAAGCGGTGAGAAGCGCGCGAAGTGCTACGGCCGCGGCCCCGTCGCTCTGTCACGGTGACAATGACAAGACAGACGAGGCGCGGGCGCGGGCGCAGGCGCGGCCGCTTAGTAGTACGTCTCCTGCTCCAGCCAGCCGCCGGGGTTGCGGCGCAGGTAGAAGCGCCGGATCTCGTCGTAGATGAAGATCGACAGCATGAACGGAATGGCGGGCAGCCACCACACGAACCTGACAAGATAACAACAAATATGAATAATAACGTATTATATCTTAAGCAAAAGGCTCCAATTAGCAAGTGTGCAGTGACTCACTTGAGTGGGTACATCCGCAGACCCTTGTCCATGCCGGGGGTGTAGGAGAGGAAGGCGGCGAGGGCGGTTTCGAAGATGAGACCGAAGTTGAGGGCCCAGTTGCGCATGCCTTGGTGCACGATGGAGTTGCGCCGGGTCTTGCAGATGATCAGATCGGCCCACTGCACCACTACGATGGACACGAAGAAAGCGGTGTGGCAGGTAAACTCAAGCGCTTTGCGGTCACGGTAGGTCTGCAAAAAAGTACACAGTTGAGACGTAATACAAGAAAACATAACATTTGTAAATATCCCAGACTTATTTACTGTAGACATATCATATTTAAATAATAAATTATTTCCTCTAAAGAGAATGCATAGATCAGTCTTGCATTATTTATGAAGATGTTTGGCCTGTGATGTTTTCTCTAAAGCTATAAAATAAAATTAATCATTTAAAAAATACCGGTAAATTCTTGTTTGCTACCAGTAATAGAAAGAAAGAACATAACTTGGACTATGTGGTTTAAGTATTTCACTTTAAGAGATTTTA